GACACGAGGCCCTTCCTACCCTATTTAATGTCACTGCTAAGACCTCTGTGTATCAGGTAAGTCCCTTCAGGAAGAAATTAAAAGTAGGAAGAGGACAGAGAGAAGACGGAGCCTCTTGTATCTGCTTTAATTGATTTACTGCAGGTCAATCTCAAGGAGCGAGGACAGAAGTAGAAGTCCATTTAGCCAACTTCAAAGCTCTGCTCTTGACCTCTGATAACCGGGAGGTCTTTGAACTCATCTGCGTTTCTAAGTCTTTGGCCAGAAAGGAGAATTTCTCAGCCACTTTTTCGTGCCTTCCAAAGGAATTAATTTTCTAAATGGAAAATTGAAGTAATTAGGTTATAGACTGAGTGACATTTACTAAGGTGAAAAGCAAGGAAATTTTTATATCCTTTATTCAACAGTTATTAGATGTATTAAGCAATACGGAGTAATTACTTTTATTCCCCCAAATGTGATTATTCTTTTCAGGCCAAGGCAAGCTCAAACTCACAAAGATCCAACAGACCATGACTACTCAGAAAAGGACCAGGTCACCTCTTTCGCCTTTTTCCCGGAACCGCCTGGCTCACGCGGCAGGTAGGAAAGCACCCACAGGGAGAGGCATAGGGTCTGGTGCTCAAGACGGAGCTCAGTTTCCTTCTTCCCACGCTTGGACGCACCCATCCCACGCACCTTTCACTTTCTCCCACCAACCTATCCAGCGAGGAGATTTACTCACTGATTCAATAGCACCTACTATGTGCCAGACATACCTTTCTAAGGCATACAGCAGTGAGAACAACAGACAAAACTTTGCACCTGCGTGGGATTTGCATTCTAGAAAGGGAAGCCAGACAGGGAGCAAAGTAAACGGGATCTATAGTTAAGCCAGAAGATCGTTGCCATGAAGAAAAGGGGGAGGCCCCAGAGAGGTGCCGTTTTCGTGAACCCTTGACGGAGGGAGAGGCTCCCCAGCCAGCCAGCTGAGGAAGGATGTGCTAGTTGGATGAATCATCACGTGCAAAGGCCCTGGCATGACCCAGGGGTTCCAGGAACCCCAAGCCAACTGACTGAGTAAGGGGCGGGTGGTAGGAGACGATCCGAGCGATGGGGGAGGGCTCTTCACATTGTGAAGATTTGACCCCGATTCGGAGGCAACAAGGCACTGAGAGATTATGAGCCAGGGGTTCCTGTCAAGACAACCCACAGATATCCATAAAAGAGTAATGTAAGTAGTTTCAGAGATTATTATCCCATCAGTGCGCCTTGCCTCCTACCTCTGTCTCCTAAATGACAAATGACACCTTTGTCTTAAATGTACAGTTCCCCACTCCCTGAGTGGGGGGGGGGGGGGCGGTGAGACTAGCACCTGGCACAAGTCGTGGATCCATTTTTAGAATATTAATTGATCAGGAGCCCAGGGAGGAACATCTGTGTCGACTGATACAAATCTATGCCTTTAACAGGTCTCTGTGCCTTCCTGAGCCTTTGTCTTCATGTCTGTGAAATGGGTAGGTGAGGTAATGTATTTAACACGTTGCCGTCAACGGAGTAAATGGTAGTTATTTTTATTTAAAGAATGACCCCTTATTTCGAAGAATAATTCCATCTGTAATTCTTTGTTCTTGACTGGAGAAGACCCTTTGGCTCCCCATCGGACCCTTATTCCCTTGCTGGGTTCCACTCACTGTCGCTGTCTTCCTCCAAGTGTCCCTTAAATGCCTTTTCAGTGGAGACTTCTCACCAGGGGTTATTTGGTGCCCCAGCGAGCATTTAGTCATATTTGGAGACAATTTTCATGATCATAACAGGGGGAGGGCCACTAGGTTTTGGTGGGTAGAGGCTCGGGATGCTGTAAACATACCACAGTGCACAGGACAGCCCCACAGCAGAGAACTATCCGGCCTCGAATGACACGGGTGCTGCCGTGGAGAAACTCTGCTCCAAATACAATAAATGCGGTATTGCGCTTTCCTTCATATACACATGCGGGAGAATATATATAATATAGACCACTGCTTCCTCCTAATGGACTCTCTCTGGCTCACATTATCCCAACCCCTCTGGCACTGGCAGGCAGTCGGTGCAGTTATTGAGTGAGGGAGAGTTGGCCCAAACAGAATTTTATGGGAGCAATTGCATCATACGACTCCTACTGAAATCCTGCTGACCAAAGTGCTAGAGATTTGAACTCCAAGCAAAAATTTCCCTGTCGTGCTCCTTAAGTTTCCATATACAGTTCAAAAGGTAGTGGCATTCTAAGTGGATAAAGCAAAATTAATCGGTAGCAACTCTTGCAATTGTTTTCAAAGACAGTATTAAGGGCTCAATGGAGAAAAAATACAGCCTAGTTTGTCTCATCAGCATCTCACAGAAGGGACACCGAAGGCTGCCTAAGACGGTGGCCTTGTTGAAATAGAGCCAGGATCATTGGCCGGAGGAATCCCTGGGAGGCAGAACAGGGCCCCGTGTGTAATAATGTCTCCACTCCCTGCCCTCCTCAGCTGCCACAGTCAAGGTTGCATGTAGCACATAGCATCTCTTGGTAGGAGTTAGGTCCACACGGCTTCTCTGTCCATGTTGGGCAGATGCGGGGGCCAGACCATGAAGGGGATGTCCACGGCATGGCTGGTGCGTGAAAGTCGCAACCGGGGGCGCCTGGGTGGCAAGGTCGGTTGAGCGGCTGACTTCCGCTCAGGTCATGATCTCCCAGTTTGTGAGCTGGAGCCCTGCATCTGGCTCCGGGCTTCTGATACCCTGTCCCCCTCTCTCTTTGCCCCTCCCCCACTTGCGCTCTCCGCCTCTCTCTCTCAAAAATAAACATTAAAAAAAAAAGTCACAACCCTTTGTGGGAGCCCTGCTCTTTTCTTTCAGCTTACCCAAATTATTACTATCTCCTTTCTCCAGAGAAATGTCTCATTGCTACCCAAGGGGAAAAATCAAGTGTTCTGAACAACTCAGTCACTAAAGAGATATGTGAGACTGGAACTCAAATCATCAACAGGTAATGGGTAAAGCCAACCATATTGAGGAGGACCCAGCCCTAAGGGAGGGTTTATAAGCAAGGATGGGGGAGATATGGGAATATCCTGGTCTAGCCCACGCAGCCGATTTGCATTTCAAGGAAACATGTTTGAACACAAAAGAAGACGAGAACCCAGACTGCTGGGTCTTGACTAAGAAAAGAGCGTGTTAGCAAAAGAGGACGTTCCCATGAAGTCTAGAGAAAGGGGCGTTGTCACTGACCACTCCTACCCATTTCTAGAAACTTCCGTATCGTGGCTTTCTCCTGGTTAGCTGCCTCTTTGTCCAGCACCCTTGTTGCCTCCTTCACTCACTGCTCTTCATCTCTGAGTCTCAGTTTCCCCGTCCATCAAATGGAAGACAATAACATCTGCCTCACCACAGGGGCCGACTGCGTGGCAGATAGGTGCTTGATCGATGTTAGCCTGCCTTCTCCACGTTTGAAAGTCTCCTTTCATCTCTGCCCAGATAAAACTGCCATTTTCTTGGCGCAGTTAACCTTAACTGTTAGAAAGGGAACCTTTTAAACAATTTTACATTCATGTGTTCCTGACTTCAAAAGCCATTTGATATTTTTTAGGGTCCGTGGCGACTCAAAGGACTCAACACCTTTGTAAGCTTCCTAATTTCAAACGGTGCGATACAATAAAATGAAAAAAAAAAAAAATTCAGGCTACTAGTGTCCAGGAATCAGCCTCCAGGTATCAGCTTTCCCGAGATCTTAGCATTTCCCAAACTCACGTCCTATTCCTGAAACCAAAGATTCTCTGAGGATTTTACATAAGACTTCCAGGAATTGTTGGCCAACTTTGCCCATGTTAGCCCCATTCTATCCTGGCCACGTGGCTTCTTCTTCCTCCCGTTCTTCCCCATACAAGCACACTGGGACAAACACAGAGAGCTAAGCACCTTGCCCTGTCCTGGTCCCGAAGTGACCTGGGGCAGGTGAGCAGTGGTCACACACATGTGCACGTTGGGTGAGCAGGATGTAACAGCGGCAAAGCTGCCTGAAGTGTCCGAAGGCTCCTCGTGCCGTCTGGAGTTCATCCAATTCCATCAAACAGCCCAGATGCCAAGTGCAACAGTCTAGCACCGTTCCTCAATTCCTTGACCTGAGACACTTGTGATCTTGAATTTGGATGGACTCCTTGATCAGACAGACCTGGGTTTGAATTTCAGAGCCATCATTTGATACCTTTGCCATTTTGTACAAGTGATCCGATCCTTCACATGTTACATATCCTGTTCTCTAAGATGGGCTAAGAATGGTAACTGCCTTGGGAGGGTAAACTGAGGTCAGATGAGTAACAGCTGACCCCGGTGCTCAACACACATGAGCTGAGCTAGTCACCATGGTTGGGGTTGTTACCATCACCTCCAGGTGAAACAGGACCTCTGAGTCCTATTCAGGGTCCAGGAGCACCCTTCAGTGTCCCTTGCTAGAACCGGGTGAATGGGCTTCCTCTCCTCTATCCACACCACGCATCAACACACAGTCACATGTCCTCAGTCACTCAGTAATTATTGGCTGCATTTCTTTAATGTTCTTGTGCACTAGCCTACCCATCCCCTCTACTCTGATGGTCTTCCTAAAAGAGGCAAGAAGAGGGAAATGAATATTTTAAGAGGTGAAAATTCTCATAGAGCAGAAGCAAAATTTGTACCTTGTCCCAGTGTTTTGGGAAGATTTGTCAGCCATTGTCCACCAACATCTTGGAATAACAAGAGCCTCAATCCCCCTTCTGCCCATCTCCGTCCCCCTGGCACCTGCAGCTGTCACTCTCCTCCACGGCATCAAAGGCCAACATCACCACAAAGCCAAGGATTGGCTGAGTCTCATTTCTGCTCCCTTAAAAAAATCTGCTGTAAGTGAAAAGCTCAAGGCATTAAGAAGTGCAAAAATCAATCCTACAACATGTTTAAGCAGAGTAAATTCTATAGGAAGCCCTAAAATAATGATTGTGTCAAAGAAAATGGCTTTATCCTTGGCATCTTGGTAAGAGATAAAATTATAGTATTGGAAACTTGACAATGGAGTAATAGAAAGGAAATTAAGAGAGGGGGGAATAAAAAACTGTGTCTAATCTGCGCTGCACTCTTCCAAGAATGTACGCACGTAGGATCCGCTGCCCTGGGGGCAGTGTGAGACAAGGGAGGTAAAAGACAACTCACGAGGTGAGACAGACTTTCGGCAGCAAAGTTCAAGTCCTAGGAAAGTCAAGTGCCAGATGGCCATGTAAAGGCTGTTTCGGGCAGGGTGTGGTCCATGATGTCATGTTGCACGAGGAGATTTCAAGGAACACTGGACAATGCGAGAGCCTCTCTTCTCCCTGCCCCAACTGCCCAGCTGTCTGTTCCACTCACCCCACCATACCCTTTTCCCTGTAAGTTTGCCTTCCCGGTTACCACCCACCTACAGATGTTCCCTTCCTCATCCCTGCAAGCAAGAGGGAGACGCTGAGCAAAGTGTCAGGCCTTGTCATTTAGACCGAATGCAGACACCCTGCAGTGATGTCACCAGCCCCGGCTGCCCAGCCACGAGTAGCCCAATTCATCAGGAAACCAGAAATATGACAGTCTTTGGAGATACATCGAGAGATAAACAGGGCCAACGTGGGTTTGTCAAATTAAGAAAAACAGAGGCTGGAGGACTGTCTCCATAGATATTCTAATGAGTTTTTGAGTTGGGAAGAAAGAGTAGCCCCGATTTATACAGAATCGCTCCCCACACTCCCAACGTGCTCAGGTCAAACCCCTGGCGTATTCCTGACCCCCTCCCTCCCCACGTCCCACCTCACTCCAGTTCAGAACCTGTAAGGTTCTAACTGATGGCGAGGTTGGGATGTTTTTCTTGAAAACAGGAGCCCGATCAGAGCATGTTTCATGAAATATTTTTATCAGCCCCAACACGCTACGCAAGGCAATGACAGCAAGAATGGTCTCAATCGAGCAAATGTTCGTAGAGCCCCCAGCCTGTGTGTGATGCCATACTGGCTGCTGTGGAAGAAACAGGTGGGGAAACACGTCGTCAAGACCCTGAAATTCTGTTGGACTTAATTAGAGACTTAAAGGCCCAGGACATACTCAGCAAGGACTAGGTGTCTCCAAGAAGCATGAGGCGCTACGGGGCCCAAAGAAGGGAGACATCACATCAGTCTGAGAAAGGCCTTCTGCGTCGGCCATGAAGGACAGGAGTTTAGAAATTATCTCTAAAAAACAGACTGAACAGATTAACGGATTGCAGCCTGCCGGAACCCTACAAACAGAGGCCTGGCATCCAAAAGTAGTGCGTAAGTAGCATCTTTCCACCCATTCACTAGTTAACTCAACATTTATCAAGAGCCTGTTCTATGCCAGGCACCTCTCTGGGCACTGGGAGCGGAGAAGGCAATGAAATGAAGCAGACTCTCCTAGAGCTTAGAAATAGGTCATATCCATGGGTTTAAAAATATCCCAGAGTAATGAGGGGTGATCAGAACAGGGCAGTGGGAGGGATCGTCTGCGGATTGTGGAGCCCACCCCAGGAAAGGAGGATGCGGGGAAGAAGAAGGAGCTGAGGGACCCCGAGACGAGATGACCTTGACGATTTGCAGAAGGCCAGCGTGGCTGGAGCAGAGACAAAGCAGCGGTAGTGAACCTCGTGAGCCGGGGCAGGAAGTGTGGATTTTGTCTCAGGTGAGGCAGGAGGCACGGAGCAGGCTGAGCAGAGGGGCGTCATCTGATCAGCATTCGTGAAAGGCCACGCTAGGTGCTGAGGTGCTGACTGCCAGGGGGGAAGTGAGGACTCCACTCTATCCAAGGGCCCATAGTGGCTTGCACGGGAGGCAGCAGTGGGAATGGAGGAAAGCGAATGGCTTCGGATGGTCCCCGAGTTCGAGCTGACAGCATTTGTTGATGGCCTTGTCTGAGCCTTGAAGAGAAAAATGAAAGAAGGCTTCAAGATTTTTGCCTTAAGCAACCGGGAGTCTGGTTTCTAAGACGGAGGCCTGTGTGAGGGCACATTTAAAAGGAAATTCTATTTCGGACATAATATAAAAGTAAGACAGGAACCAGAATAGGATGTGGAATAAGCTTTTTTGTCTTAAGATCAGAAATGTTGGAACAGTTTTCTAGATTTTTTCAATCCAAATGCAGTGGATAAACCAACACTACAGGTGACAATCCATAGCCATTTCTGACAAAAATAAAAAAGGACATCAAACAATTAACTATCAGAAACACAAGAAATGTACATTAAAACAAGAATGAGATCATATTTTTTTACCCAAAGAGTGGAAAAAATTAAAAGATCAGTGACACCCAGTGGTGATGCAGATGTGGGGAAATGGGCATTCTCGTGCACTTTTGACAGAATTGTAAAACAGCGCAACATTTTTGGAAGGCAGTTTGGAGGCAGCTATCCAAAGGAGTCAGGTGGCATAATCCCACGTGAAATGTATGTTGCACAAAGTTGCCCGTAAATGATCAGAGATAAAGGGGTAAGCGCATTCATCACCTCGGTGAAATAAGTCACCTTACATCCACATAGAGGAATATGGGGAGGTCAGAATAAAGGGAGACCTCCTCTCTACTTCTCATATTTCAGTACGATTTGAGTTTATGACACGAGAAAGACCACTTTTAAAGAATAACGTAAGAAGTTAAAGGTAAGGGTTAGAAAGTTAGACAAGAGAGAACGAACAGAGTTGGCTTACCTGCTCGGTGCTGGTGAGGGTGGTGGGAAGTGGTCACTTTCACACGCTGATGACAGGAAGTTAATCTGGCACATTTCTGGAGGACCACCTTAGCCACCTGTACTAATTTCTTCGAACCATTCGTACACTTAGATGCACTAAACGGGTGTCTAGGAATCTATCCTGCGTGACCCCCCCCCAAGGGCACACAGTCAAAGATTTATAAGAAAGAATGCTCATCGCCACATTACTTGTAACAGTGAAAAATGCGAAGACACTTATTGGCGTTAATGATTTTCTAAGGCACGCTCTATACAGTGCAATCTAAGGAAGCATAGAAAACCACATTATTTAAATTATCGAATGATGTGGAGAAGTGTTCATAGTAGGCGCGAAGTACGAGAAAGAAAGATGCAAATCTCTTCACGTTGCATAATCCCTGTTGACGCACACACACGTGCCTACACACCCATTCAAAATAATACTAGGAGAAACTCATCCGAAAAGTTAACAGTGATGGCTTCTTGGTAACAAAACTAGAAATTGTTCATTGTTTTTCAAGGAACACCCATTCCTTTTATAATCAGCATGCGTTTACTAAGAGAAGAGATAATAAATTAGTATGCCCGTTTGTCCCAAAGCTCACTGGATTTTATTTTGGGTTTTTTTTTTGCCCAACTTGAAAAGCCCCCGCAGGTCACTCAACTACAGAGAAAATTGCCTCAATAAAGCAGCTGCATTTCACACGTGCCTCACTGCCCACTCCACACTCGCTGCCACTCATCTTATCGATGTTGCGATGCTTTAACGCCATGGGGGTACAGGCAACACCTCGCTGGTACCTGGAGATATATGAGCCTAGACGCTGGGCAGCATCTGTTGCTATAACAGAAGGTCATTCCTCAGCAGAAATTGAAATGGATGTTATTTACTCTAACCAACAGCGATTGCATCTCAGACTTAATAAATCACGTGCACACGTGCGGAACCAAGGGTCCAAGCAGGGGCAAGCCAGAGTCTGGGGAAGCGACATCTTGTCCATCTTTACCCTGAGCCCCTAAAGCAAGTCTAGGTCTAGCCAAAGTCGGATCATTCCGGATATAACCCCTCCCGATGTATACCCCACTCCCCTTCACCACGAGATCTTCACCAAGCCAAGTAAGCCCGCTTTGGATCCTTTGCGCATTCCCCACACCCCCCGCCCCGTCCCTCTTCCACTTGTGTTCTCTCTCAAAATAAATGAGTGAACTTTTAAAAAAAAATTACTGAATATCAGGTAAGAAGCTAAGTACTGGACATGTATGATACAATTTCATCATCGTAACAGTCCCATGAGACAGGAAGCTTACACTACCCCCATTTTACAGAGGAGCACCTGGGGCTCAAGACAAGAAACGTGCCCAAAGTCACAGCCCATAGACGGTGGAGCTGGGATTTGAATCCAGCTGATCTGGCTCCGAGCGCCCACGCTTACCTGGTACGGCAATACACCATGCGGGTATAAATGCTCCCAGTATCATGGGGCCACTGTGCTGGAAAAGCAACTTTTCCTGTTACTCGGCGCACAGTAAGCTTGTGGTGAATACCAGCATTGTTATTAAACTTCCCATATAAGGCTTCCAGAAGAGAGAAGGAAGAACAAAACTTCCTAGGGACCTCTGTTACCATGCATGGCTCAGTCCTACCATCACGTTCCCCCGGTGCAAGATAGTACCTGAACCAATGTCTTCATGCATTCTCAAGCCCTGTGGATCCGGAGGGTCTGGGCGGATGTACAAGGTGACCCTGTGTCCTGGGGCAGCCTCTCCAGACTGGTTGCGCGAGATAACGATTCCTGCCCTTATGGTTTCCACATGCTAATCAGAATTAATTGGCCAAAATCATTTTAAAAGTCTAGGGGCTTCATACATTAGTGCTTAATTACGATATATCATTTTCTCCGAGCAGGTACTCGGACCCTGGAGATGAGTTCTCTCTCCTTATCCCTTTAATAAGGAGTCAGTCCTGGACTTGCGTTCAGTCAACTCCTTCCTGAAATACAAGAAACAGAACCGATGGTGGTTTGATCTCTCTCGTTTCTTAGTTAAATGGATTAAATAGAAAGATAAAGAGCCATCTTTAAACTCGTGAACTTTTTTTTTTCTTTTGCAAGCATTCTAAAAGCTTCCATTTCACAGAGTGGATATTGCTGTGTGGTCTGGTCACACACATCGAAGCTACGGGACATTCTAGTGTCCTTATGGGTGTCATTTGATGTTCTGCTTGTAACCTTGCTGCCTGTCATGGAGGCCAGTCACTGCCAATGATCTTCAATCATGGGCCACAGACAAACCTCCATTTGCTCGTCCCCACCCTTCCAATAGATGTGATGTTTCCAGAGAGCCCTCTCACATCTCTTCTCAGTAGATGTCCAGCATCCTCACGGAAAGTATGGAACAAAACCACAGCTACTACAAGTGCAGAAGAGACGTCTGGTAAACAGCTAGGACTTTGAAGAAATCTCCACACGCCGCTTGGCCGATCTTGAACTTTTGAGCGTGCGTCCCTGGATTTCTGTCGCCGGGGATGCCCACCGCCAAACCCTTTCCAGTCCGCCCAAGTCTCTTTAAGTGAAAGGAAGCTATTACCCTATAAAAACTTTAAACTGTATATGTCCTCAGCATCTCTAAGCCATTACAAAAATCATGCAGCTAATGACTTGGCGTATGCCCACGACCCAAAACTTGGCCTTCTGGGCATAGCCTGATGAACGCCTCCTCACCTCTGCAACGACCCCAGGTTCAGCTGCCAAGACCCTGTCCCCTCCACTTCCCTCCATGCCTGGCCTGGCTGGCCCACGGCCACTCTTGCAAATGTGACTTCCCGGAAGTTGCTGAAGGACAGATCCCGGCAGAAAACCCCAGATTCAAGGAGGCCTGAAGGTTAAGAGCATGAACGTGTATCCACATTTTGCAGATGGGAGAGTAAGGCAGACATAAGAAGCATCGTCCTCGGATAACGGGATGAGTCAGAGGAACTCCCAGGAATAGACTGCAGATCTCCGTCTCCTATTACCAGCGGCATTGCCGGGAGAAGACTGTGAGGGCACAGTGACCTCACACATGTTCTCAGCCCAAAAATATTTGTCTTGAGTCCTTTTCCAGCTCCTCTCGAGCTGTAATAAACTCAACTTTAAATCTTTTTTTTTTTTTTTTCCTTCAAGTTGACAACAGAAGATCAGTGTTAAAATCCCACTTTGGAATGTGTGTTTATGAATTTGTGACTTTCTTCGGGGCTACTAGTCATAAATCCAGAGTACAGCAGGCGTTTCTTTCTGGCCGGATTTATGAGAACACCAAAGGCGGTCGGGAAAGTTGCGCGTTGCAAGGCAAGTGCTACTGAAGAGCCACCAGCTATTATATTTGACCTGGAGACGGGGGAGTTTCCCGGGGCCTGGGAATGGGCAAACTTGGACTCAGTGAAGAAGAAGGGAAGGAGGAGGGGAGAAAAGGAAGTGGGAGAGGGAAAGACATGGGGGGAGATAAGGAAAGAGGGAGCGGAGGGAGGAAGACCTACCTTAGAGGTGATTACAGACCAGTCAATGAAAGTTTGATATTTGATTAAATATTAAAATAAATGCTCCAAATAAGGGTTCCTTTGCAAATGCAGGCAGACAGTCATGATTGTAACGTGGGAAAAAATCCTGTCGGATCCCTTCTAGCTCCTTCTCTGACAATGAAACGCGGCACAGAAACAGGCTCAGCCAGGGGCACCGTCTACTGGGGCTTTAGTAAGAATGTTGACTTTGGAAACAACACAGAAAGGTGATAGTCTAAGAGTCTCAGAAGGGCTCTCCTGAGCCTGTGGGGACATTGCAAAGTCATGATGTTCCATGGAGTACAGGGAAGGGGCGATCATGGTTCCCAGCCTGTACTCTTGTCTGGATGGGTGGTCAGGACGAGGAATTGACCAACGCTTGTAAGAGCAGCGAACGCACATGTTAGGACACAAGAAAGGATCCAAAGCGACCTTGACGAGTAGGCTAAATCAGCCTCAAAACCATGATGTATTTAATACTGACACAACTCAGTGTAAAAACAAGAACTTAAGGGGGGGCCTCACTAGTTCTGACTGACAGGAGACTGCAGACATGGTGTCCTGATTTTAAACACATAAAGGAAGTCAAGATAATGCAATGCTGGCAGGAAGGGGCCCAGCAGGCTTCTTCTTTTTTTATTTTTATTTTTGTTTTTATTTTTATTTTTATTTTCATTCAGGCGGTCTTCTTAGATGTCCCCGGCACACAACACTTCTTAAGTAAACAAATGGGTGCTTCCCCTTTTGAAGACTCCACTTGGTTAAAATTAAATTCTCCCTGATGTTTGTTTCGCTAGATTGATTTTCCAGCGAACTACATCGTTATAAACGATGGAAAGATGAATGTCAGCCTAGCCCCAACGAATGATTTCAAATTCCTAATTAATGTAATATGAATCAATGAGTGCCCTTAATACAAAGAGAGGGTATGCCAGCCTTCCCCAAAAGAATGTTCTAGTGAAACTCTAGTCCTAAGAAATTTAATGGAAAGGGGTTCCAAAGACAAATGTAATAACAATAATAATAATATCAGTAATAACAACTAACACACACACACACACACACACACACACACATGCACACTACTTTATACCCAGCACTGCTCTGAGAACCCATGTCTCCAGGATGCTCAGTGAACCCCATCCCCCTTTTATTTACACACGATGGACATTGACATTTTACACTCTGACGGTCCCTAGAGAAAAGGAACCTACTCAACTTTGTTTTATCTGATATGTCCTCAGCTAATTTGACAATGGAACCTTATTCCTGCATAACATCCATTGATAGCAATTGTGAAATGCTGAGGTACATTCATTAATCCATTCCACAAATATTCCTTAAATGCCTTTTTTTTTTTTTGCCAAGCACCAAAGTAAGCAAATATCAGAAAGAGAGACAAAACAGTAGAGAACTGAAGATCAAGTAAGATACCTATTAGATGAATAAACCAGTAAAGCGTATAACACGGTCTTGTTTTTATAAGACCCTAGAGGAAACAGCAGAAAGAATGCCTCCCAAAGATCGGGACACATACACAGCTATGGCCAGCCCGAGTCTGTGTGGCATTTGCAGCGTGTTGAGTTTATCCGCAGACAGGTGAGGAATTTTGAGAACCTCTACATTTCAAAATAAGATGTATTTTAGTTGTCTTTAAAGACCCTAAATAATGTAAATCTGCATCAGAGACAAAGGAGATTGGTTCAACTTTGAGGAAACCTTTCTGGCCCCATGAAGAAGTGACAGCAGAGGCCCCAGGAGATATTAGCCCTCGCCCCCCCCCCCCCCCCACTACTAGGATCTATACCATCTTTGATCTGTGGCTGGCCAGCGTTGCTTGAGGCAGGGGCTTGACCTGGTATCACTCTGGAACCTCATTCCAGACCTTTAAGTGTGCCTGAAGACGAAGAAGAAAAAGTGTGTGCGTGCACATGCACATGTGCCTGTGTGTGGGTACGCATGGGCGTACGCGTGGGGGGTAGAAGGGAGAAAAATGGTCTGCAAAGATCGGCCCAATATTAAATATCAAAGCCAAGAGCAACTCACTGCCCTTACTCAGGGAATGCAGAGAGTGAGAAAAAAAATTTAAATCATAATCACCATCAACCTTGGTTTATAAATCGGGTCAAATTTGCACACTTTGCTGTATCCATTACCCCCAATTACAGTAATTTCCATTTCCCCAAGGCATTAATTGAGAAAGGTAAATTTATGGGAAGAATCAAAATGTCAGCTTCCACATTCTCTTAAGTGGCGTCAGAGTTCTCAGCTTTTTCATTGAAAATTCTTTCTCTTGTTAAATTCCAACGGTTAAGGACAACTGTTCAGGTTGGCCCTCTGGTTTAAACACCACGCTCTGGAGTCCACTCTCCTCTTGAGGTGTGAATCCATGAGGACGTCAAGAAGACAACAGGATAAGTATGGGTGAAAACCAGGGGGCAATGAATGTGGCACCCGTGTCCTCATAAACAACAACTCAAGCGCAAGTCTCACGTGCTCAGTTATTCTAAGATCAGCTGTGGGGAGGACCACACCACTGAGGGTAGAGTTAGTATGACAACAAGCAAGCCAACAAGTCACTAGAGGGGTGTGTGTGTGTGTGTGTGTGTGTGTGTGAACTTACACACATGCATGTACACACAATCATCATATAAACTCCTCTGCTGTCTTTAAAGACTGAGTCTAGCTGGTGGTCTTGTCTCAAAGCCTCCTCACTCCCCACCCACCCCCCCACGCCATCAAGCTCTAATGCACATATTATACACACACACACACACACACACACACACATACACACACTCCCAGACTCCATCGGATGTCTGTTACTACCGGATTTTAGCCATTTGCCATCCACATCAAAAATAGATGATCGGTATGTTCAAAAACAGTCGGACTGATTCATAGCTCTAATGAAGGCTGCACTTTAGAACATTTATAGCCATGACGTAGCATCCCCAGAAAAATTTGGAAAATTTCAGTCTTCGAAGCCAACACTACCGAAGCTGGGCTCAGAGAATCAGTCCTCTGTTTATAAAAGAGGTGCTCGTAAGTCTCCTGCAGCCTGGGGATATGTTTTCGTTTTGCTCCTCTGTCTTCCTGGCGGCCGTTCTTGCCGGAGACGGAGGGCAGGAACTCGATCCCACAGCTCAGTCCCTCCCCTGGCCTCTGGGGAGCCCAGGGTCCCGCCCAGGCTGAGCCTTGTTTGGTGCCTTGCAGCAGAGAGAGAATAGTTTGTATAAAAGAGACGCGAATTTCCAGAACGTTCATAGTTAGGTAACATCTCCTCCCCTGCTCCATCGTCAGATCCCCTCTGACCCCCACCTGCCAGTCCAAAGAATTCAAACTCACTGTCCTTCTCGCCAACTGAGCACACAAGTTCCAATCCACCAACTGGAAAAAGCCACGAAGAGGCTGTCGGGTCTGAGGCTCTGGGGGACGTTCTCCTTGCTGCCTGGAAACCTAAACAGGCCTTAAATAAATGCTCTGCAGTTTTCTTGCCATTGTTCTCATTGTGAGCAGCACCTCTAGCCCTCCTGTTATCAGCTCTGATCTTCACAAGGTATCTGTCCCTCCTTCCAAACGTGAGCCCTCCCAGCAGAAGGATAAGGCCCCACATTCAAGGGCCTTTGAACGTGAACGTATAACTTCATTGTTATCTCAGGTGAACTCAAAGTATAAAATCTGATTTGCACGTGCTCTCCAGAAGCTTTGATGCCTGGGAATGGTTTCTGAGAAACTGGAAAATCTTAATAAAAATCCAAGGAATCTCAAGGACTTCTAACCAGCGTCTGAATTTTCAGAGAAAGGGTATCTGGGGAGAGAGAAATCTGGCAGCTGAATCATCTGGAGAAGGGGGCAGTAAGGTACCAAAGGCTGCTTGAATGCCACATAGCATGAGCACTGCAAGTGCTAACCAGTCACATGAATATTTTTATTCGTGCCCTGTCCCTTCCTTGTCCTTGAGTACGCTTTTGTGTCTCGCCACGCAGAACCCTACAAGTGAACGAGAACCAGAGTCCGGGCTTTCTTTCTGTCAAATAGAGCCAATTTCATTTCTAAAGGTTCCTGAGCTACTTTGTAGAGCTCACATCGCTTTTCTTCTTATTGGCTTGGATCTTGTGGATAATTTATTTAAAAGACTTAACTGGTCCCTTATGGCTGGAATCCATTTTAATTTCTAAATTGACCACTCTTCTCAATTGAATTTAAAAATGAACAGGCTACCTGTTTCAGACTGGAATAGTGACCTCATCCACCAACGTTGGCCTGTGGGTGTTGACAAAGCCTAGTTCATCAGGCAGCACCCTTGACTCTACTCCTCAGGGCAATCCCACAGAAAATGCCTAACAGATATCCTGAGCCTTCATGTGTAGTCCTGAAAGTCTAGTGAGCCATCAGCCAGGTAGCCCAGTCATCCAGAATGGCATCGCAGAGTAACATTTACTGTGTGCAAAAGAAGGTGCTAGCAACTCGAGAGAATACAGAAAGGAATCAGCAAGGCCCCTGCCGTTGGACTGTTTATACCCTCTTAAGGGAGCAAGACATCACCTCGTGTAACAAATGAAAGCATGATGAATTCTAGTATGGAAGGATAAAAAAATCCATACGTGTGTGAGGAAGAATAACTCCAAGAGAAAGGATGAAAGAGGGATTGATGAGCTGAGACTTTTGGACTCAGAACATGGGATGTCCTGTCCGCCTCACCGTGTGACTCAGACTGTAGACTCCGGCGGTCCCTGGGCTTAGGGACACCATAGTCACCCCATGCTGGCCCCGAGTGGGGTTGGATGGCATGGGTCTGGGCGGCTTCTAACATGCACCCAAGAAGGGGTGCCAAAGCTTACCCAGTAGAAAAGGTGAAATCAGCCCATTGAGACAAGTAGAATGTGGTCCACCCCAGATTTTGACACTTCTTTACCTTTCTATCACTAGAGCCTTGCAAATAGTTGCCCATCTAGTTCCCAAATATCAGGGGTGGGTCGGACAAGCTTAACAAATGACTGAAATCTCTTCTGTATTAAATTAAGAAAGACCTGTTACATAGATCATGTCTTCTCGGAATGCAATTTTATTCTTTGTCTTTTAAATTCTTTTATTATAGGGGAGCCTGACTTCGGCTCAGGTCACGATCTCATGGTTCATGAGTTCAAGCCCCACATCGGGATCTAGGTTGACAGGTCGAAGTCTGGAGCCTGCTGCGGATTCTGTGTCTCCCTCTCTCTCTCTTTGCCCCTCTACCCCTCACGCTCTGTCTCTCTCTCTCAAAATAAATAAACATTAAATAAAACAAAATAAAATTCTTTTATTATATATTCTT